GAATGTGTATGTGCGTTCAACTTTGTCAAAAGATCTCTGACAAAGTTGAAGACACGTGGAGGCCATCATCGCAACTACACATCTTTAGCCGACAAGCGCAAAGTTCGGCGACGCTTTCTCTGCTTTTCAGAAAACACGTGCAGCTTTGTCAAAAGAGTCGCATCCGCACTACTACGTGTCGTTCAGAAATCGAAGGGGCGCCTGCTCAGAAATCGAAGAGGCGTCGTTCAGAAAGCAAATAGGCGTATTCAAAGATTTAAGAGTCGACATTATTTCAAAAAGCCGGATTTGCGAGATCAAAACATTTGTCGACAAGGGTAAAAGAACAACACTTACTATTGGGAAATCCCTATATATGTCGACCTTTATCTTTTATGGCAAGGCAGACCTGAAGAAAATACCTAACTTTTCCTCACCTCTGAGGGCACACTCCCAGCAAAGCCTTTCGAAATACTCAATTTTTTCTTCTTCCCCAAAGATGATACCAGATGCCTGGAGTACAGATGACCCAGGAGGAAACGGTAGATGGAAGCATGTGCTGATTCATTCACCGCTTCTTCAAAAGCAAAGGTATCTCATATCATCAAGGTCAAAAGCAAAAGTATCTCATATCATGCTCTTTCCCTGTCCTTTTCTTTGTCCTTGTTCTTACTCGCATGGCAAAGTGAAAGAAGCAATCAGCCGGCACTTGGAGTCAATCTTCCGATCTGGAACCAACTGCCTGGAATCCCTTCCCTGATTGCTTACCTAGCGTTGCTCTCGAGTAGTCATCTTCAACGGTTGATACACTTCCAGAGAAGGGACCACTTCTGCAAATGGGAGCAAGTAAGGCAAGTGAAAATGATACATTGAAGCATGTGGAGACAAACTACAACTGCATATGCTGAGCTATCCTCTAACCCTCTTCAATACGAATTGGAGAGATTGAACAAAGAAACAGATAAAAGGAGGAAGCTCAGACCTTCGGGGGAGACCAAAAGAATCCTGCTGCTCAGTTCAAGAGTAGCACAAAGGAAAATCAACGAGTGGAGGAGACCAAAAAGAATCCTCCAGCCCAGTTCAGGAGTAAGCCTGTGGAATCACCAAGATCAACCCATGCATTCAACAAAGGAAGACCGAGAAAGCACTCCAATTCCAGATTTGCGTCCCTAAACTCTTCTCTTTGTTAGTTACATTCTGCCATGTTTAGTATGTATAAATGCTGTTTGTGTTTTTACTTATGTGTTATGTAAATCTATGCTTAAAACATTGAGGACAATGTGTGATTTAAGTGTGGGGGGGGGGGGGGTAACTAAGTATATTTGATGCAAATTCGTGGGATTTTATCACCCATAACTTCAAATGTTGTTCCTTGCTGTTTTAAGGTATTTTTAAGTTGTTTTAGAGTGTTTTAGTATGTTTTGTTTTGATAACTCTGAAGATCACATAAAAATTTGAAAAACATATTTTGAAAAGCCTAAAAAGAGTGTTTTGAGTCATTTTTGTGTGTTTGTGTCGTAGGTCACCTTCCAACACAATGATAAGGATTTGGTTTTTAATTGCATGACTGTTAAAAAGAGTTATAAACATGGAGAAAAGTTTACTCTTGGTATATGCTTGGTTATGGTTATAATGTATGACTTCACATGCAATCATAAAAGAAAAAATTAGTTATGTAACATGCTTGAAGGAAGGAACTCAAACAAACGCTACAACCCTGAGAGACTTGAGCCTATAACGTTCTTGGAGAGTATAATCTGTGATTTCTTGTTTTCTAAAGTCGTTGCATGATCTCATTATTCTTTGCTTGGTTACTACTTAGAAGGCGTTTCATCATATAGTTCCAAATGCTAGAACTCATGCCCATTTCATTCAAAGCATGTTATTGATTTGCATAACACATATTCAAGAAGAAGTTGTGTAGTGACCACCACCATAGCCAAATAGCCTTACTTCCCATATTTCGTATATGTTGTAAGTTTTAACCCCGTTGAGCCTTGTTTAGCGTTTATTCTTTGTTTACCCACATTTTCCTCACCTAGCCTAGTTTAGGACAAGCCCCACCCTTGTTCTTAAAAGATAGTGAGCATGACTTAATTGAATTCCTTTTGAGTTACATTATGAAAGAAAATAAGTGTGGGGGAGAGAATGTTTAAGTGTTTATGTATGTTTTGAGATTCAAAAGAAAAGAAAAAAAAAAGAAAGAAAGAAAAAAAAAAAGAGTTTGAAAAAAATGAAAGAATGAGTGATTGAAGAAAGGGTCCAAAACACCAATTTTGACCGTAAATTGTCAAAATTCTCCCTTTCTGTTCAAAAGTTGAGTTTACATTCAAAAGTGAATTCTTAGTTGATTGAAGTGCTTTGCTCACTATTTCTTTAAGAACCTTTGTTTTCCATATCCCTTCTTTGTTATCCATACGCCCCGAACCCCATTACAACCCGTGACTTCAATCTTGAGTGTTATGTGTTTCAATTTGTGGAGTTTGAACTTGGTATGAGCATATAGTGTCACTGGTTCTCGCGTCTAAGTAGTAGCATTCCATTCATGAGATCATATCTAAACATGCTTATTAACTCCAGAAATTGCTCTCTTTGTGATATATATATATATATATATATGTGAGTGTTCGTTTTCATTAATCTTCTCACAAATGACTAGATTAGGGTGTGTAGTTAGAAAATCTGAGTGAAAATCGAGTGCATATCTTGTAAGGAATTGAGCAAATTCTCTAAGGCATGTTACTACATTCAAAACATGGTTTTAAATGCTTAATTGTGAAATAGTATGTGGTGACTATGATTAAGAATGTACTTAAGTGTGAAGATGACTAAAATCTGTGAGAATGATGATTTTTAACATGTCATGTGCATTGGAAATCCCTAAGACGATTGTTGGAAGGTTTAGGTTGTGTTTTACTTGTTTTGTTTCGTTTCGTTTTGTTTTGTTTTTCTTTCTGTTTTGCTCGAGGACTAGCAAAAGATAAGTGTGGGGGTATTTGATAGGAGCATATTCATGCGACTTAAATGGCTTGTTCTCGTGCATTTACGTTATGTTTCTTTAGTTATTTTAGTCTTTTATGCTTCTTTTGTGTGTTTTCAGGTTCTAAGGGCAAAGTATGCAAAATGGTGCATTTTGGTGCATTTTGGAGTAGTTTGGGGCGTTAAATGGATTGCATATACTTGAAGCCAAGTAGATGGACGAAATTGAAGACCAAAGGAGGCCCTTTGTACCAGAAATTCACACCAACACATCCCATTTCAGATTGCATTCCAATCATTCCAACCAAGCCACATGCACTCCCTTTAATTTATTCAACCTAGCTGTCAAAGCACATGCACATTCACCCTAATCATTCACATACACAATCTGCCATCATTCACACATTCATTCCACATGCATTCCCTTCACAAATCAGCCACATGCACCTTGCCTTTCATCATTGCACCATAAATCAGCCACATGCACCCATAATCATTCAACCAACTTTGCACATGCATTCATCATCATAACCTAGCTGTCATTACCCTTTAATCACATGCATAAATCAGCCACATGCATCTCCCATCACCATTCCAGATTTCCACCAAGTTCCTAGCTGTCATATTCCCTCCTTTTCACCTATAAATAAGCATCCATTGCAGCCACAATTCATTCATTCCCATTCATTCTCATACATTCTTCCATTTCAGAAATTCATTCATTCAAACACACATCCACACCATAAAACTATCATTAGACCTTGTGCTACAACGAAGAGGAGGAGAAGAGTGCCTAAACGTTCATACAATTCAAGTGTGAGTTGTTGGAATGTTTAGGTGTTTCTTTTCCTCGATTACAATGTTTAATTTCAATTCTCTTTGTTTTGTACGTATGAGGAACTAAACCCCCCTTTGGCTAGGGGGGATTCGAAATATATGTTTATGCTTGCATTTTGATTTGATTACTTCTAATTGCGTTTCATAAGTTGTGGATTCAATTTGTTTAACTGTTTGATTGATAACTTATTTATGTATGTTTATTGAGAGTACACGCTTAATTTTCATGCATGAATATGACGCTAGAATATAAGTGAGTTTCACCTAATAGTTACGAACTTATATTCACAAGTAGTGGAGGTTGCTTATAAACAATCGCATTAAACGAATTATTGGCATAAGTTTCATGCAATCATAGTAACGAATGCCTCGTCAACACTTATAATCTTCATAGAGCGTAATGATTCTTGCTTGTATCTCTATTATGCAATCATGTAGGGGACTTGTGGGGAATGTTTTGGGTTGTCGTATGCAATCATCCAATTCAATAACGTTAGGAAGATTTGAAGGTTAATTAGTGCATCACGGTTAACTTGGGGTGTTGAGAATTCATGGTTTATTGAAATGCAATTGGAAATCTTTTTATTATGCAAGTGTAACATGTGTGGAGATGAACCCCTTAGCTAGCAATCCATCACATTCATACTTACAATCTGTTTGAATTAGAATCTGTGCAATTAGTTTAATTTCGTCCAAAACTCAATCCCCCCTTGCTTTAGTGTCCAACTTAGTTAGAAAGTGTCTTAGTTTGTGTTTCTAAGTGTTTTGATTCATTTTATTACCCAATTTCGTCCAAAGTAGTCAAAGTGCTCAAAACTGCCCAGAAAGTGTTTTTAAGGCAGTTTTGAGTGTTTTGGGTGCTGTTTGAGTCTTTTGGTTTGTTTTAGTGTTTGAAGTGTTTAGTTTTGCATTCTTTGAGTCTAGTTTAGTGTTAAAGTGTCTTAGTTTGTGTTTATAAGTGTTTTGATTCAATTTATTACACACATTCGTCCAAATTCACCAAAGTGCTCAAAACTGCCCAGATTGTGTTTTTAAGGCAGTTTTGAGTGTTTTGGGGCTGTTTTGAGTCCTTTGGTTTGTTTTAGTGTTTTAAATGTTTAGTTTTGCATTCTTTGAGTCTAGTTTAGTGTTTTAAACTTTATTTTACGTTTTTGAGTCAGTTTCCAAGTGATTTTGCAATCCCTCCTAATCCCCGGTTAAGAACGATCCCTACTTATACTTATACTACAATTGATAAAAAGAGGGTTTAATTTGTGTGCGTATAATTCTCGCATCAGTACTCTAAGCTTGAGAGGCATGCGAAGAACATGCTAATTGCTGGTCCTGTTCTGTGGCTGCTTGGATCGATCCACAACTCGTGCCAAATCTACGAGAGGGCAGACGGGCATGTCCAAATACTTCAACAATGTGTGTATATCCCATTTCTGATTGGGAGTGTGTTGTTCACAGTAGCTGCAATTCTCAACAGCCGGGAGCAACATAGACTGTCCCTTCATGGCCTACAGATACTGGTAATTAGTCCTTAGTCCTTCCTCCTTAATTTAATTGAGTTCCTTTAATTTTGATTATTATAATCTTTTACACAATTAATTTATTGGTAAATGCGTGCAGGGTAGAACTTGGGTGTGGCTGGGGACGGGAGGAAGCCTGTTGTTGCTGATAGGAGGACTAGCAAATGTGGTGAAGGTGTTCAAGATGCAACAAATGGGTGATGGACTGAGGCTTGAGAAACTGCGGGGAGGGGCGCAGGAGAGGCTCGTTCGCGGAAGGGAAGGCCAGGTTCCGCTTATAGTCGAAGATCATCGGAGGAGATCGTCACAAAGACCATCAGCTCGTTACGATAACAATCATCATGCACATCATGTGGAACCAAATCCAAATGTAGCTGCAGAACCAGCTCCTACTCCTTACAAAGATGTTCTTGTTGGTCAGACAAGTTGAATGGTATATAACTTAAGGGCCATACTTTGTGGTTTGTAAGCACCCAGTGTCAGTGAGTGATATTTTATTATTTTTCGCGTTAAGGAAGAACAGAAAGGATTTGAAAAGCTTGAGTTGCATACAAACAAACAGCTTCCGGAAGCCACGGCTGCGAGTAAAACGTTCAACGGTCACAACAATTGGAGAAAGGAATACGACCGACTTTTGCACGATAAAGTATTACGCCAAATAACATCACAGTTCGAAATGGTTCGGTTTAGGTCTTAAACTAGTAGTACGATTGAGGATTTTCTTTTTTTTCTTTTGTGATATTTAATCGTTAGATTCTTTGGTTAAATATGCAATGATCAAGATCCAACAGTTAAAGTTCTCGATGTACTAATATTTCAAAGCATCATAACATTTTCAGTACTTGTTTAGGGCATGCTTACTTACCATGAGAATAAATCGGGATATGAAGGATTAGGCTATGAACATTCTAGCATCACAATTTGAAATGGTTCGATTTAGGTCTTAAACTAGTAGTATGATTCAAGAGTTTCTAGTATACTCTGGGATGTTCTATATTATGTGATTTTTAATAGTTAGTAAACACATGAATGAGAATGACATGAATTCCTTTGTAATTCATTCCTTGAAAGTAAATTACGAGCCCTTAGTTTCCGATTTGGTTAAGTTATTTCTTCTAATAACTCATAAGCAATTAACCAAATGCAATATATTATCATATGCCATAGTAGAACTTCTGACTTGTTTGATAGTTCTTAAATATCATAACGCTTTTATATTATGAAAAGAGTTTTTCTCACGTTAAATAGTAAAAGTTAAAAGCATTTAAGGTAACCAAACACCTGAAAAATGCTTTTACAAGAACGCACTTATGCCTTTTATATTATCAAAACATAAATAGAAGAAAACAAATACAACAGGTAGCTAGCATTTCTCTTTCGGGAATAAAAAATCCGATTTTATGCAGAACGTTACGAAATGGGTTCGAAAATAATCTTTCGTTTTTAGTTAAATGGGCTCGAAGCCCACATTTCAAGTTCTGTAAATCCTTCTCTTTCTTCCTCCCGAAAACATTTTGCTGTACTAAAGCAGGCCAGGTGGACTACTGTGCAACACGGGTACTCAGTCTCAAGAACCCTAATTTGCTGACAATCCATCGAGGTTCTAGTTCCTTTCGATTCTTCAGGTACCCAATTTTCCTCCTTTTTAACCCTTTCGATTTTTTCCCCCAATTTTAATTTTCAATTCGCAATTTTCATGGTTCTTTTTGTTTAGTTCGTCTCAAATTTTGCTTTTGCCTTTTCGATTTTTCACTATCGGCATGCATCTATTTACCATTGCTAGCTTGGCTGGGATTTTGTACTTGTTATTTGCATTTTTTCACGTTTGCTGGGTTCGGATATGTTGTGAATTATTATAATTTATAAACAAGGTTGAATTTTGAGGACATTGATGCTTTTTTCCGTCATGAAAATTTCCTTACTTTGCTTTGCATATGCATTTACAAACGTTCACAATCAAATATACAAATAGTTACATGCATTCCATATATATGTGTGTATATGTAGGGCTTACGTACGGATAGCTACATAGCCTTTTAAAACATTCCAAATAACTGCCTGATGTTTTGAAAATTAGACGTGTGTTAGGTCACCCGCGATGTGGACAAATATTGAAGCGCGCTCTCACTCCCGCATCATTTATGGAGCTCTAAATCTCCAAATCGGCTCCTTTACCCTAAATGACTAAAAGGAGTCGATTTGGGGAAAGGAGAGCTCCATAGATGACACAAGAGTAAAACCCGATTCAATATTTGTCCATGTCATCACTTAATGCTTGTGATGAATCACTTAACGTTGGTGAGCTAATGGATGTCCAGTTTTCAAATCCTTAGGTTGTTATTTGGAATGTTTTAAATGGTTGAGATCAATCACCTGTAACGGTTGGGCAGTTATGCGTATATATTACGGGCATGAAGTGCAATTTTTCATTGTGTGTAGTTAAGATGAAGAGTAATGAGTTCATTTTCTTGTGATGGAGAATCTAATTATGAAATGCGTCTTGGTGTGGTGATCGGAAGGACTGAGTATTTATCTGGTGTTGTTTTGTAGGTATTGGGTTGGTATACAGAATGGCTTCTGTGTCCAGTCAGCCACAGTTCCGGTACACTCAGCCACCATCTAAGGTGCTTCATTTGAGGAACTTGCCGTGGGAGTGTACAGAGGAGGAATTGATAGAACTGGGAAAACCATTTGGTAAAGTTGTCAACACAAAGTGCAATGTTGGAGCAAACCGTAACCAGGCATTTATTGAATTTGTGAGTGTACTTTCAGTTTTTTGTTTTGGTTCATTCTGCTTTTAATATATGTTATCACTGATTACATTTTCCTTTAATATTTCATGAATGTTTTTAGGCAGATTTAAATCAAGCTATTGCGATGATATCATATTATGCGTCATCTTCAGAACCTGCTCAAGTAAGAGGGAAAACTGTTTACCTACAGTACTCCAACAGGCAAGAAATAGTGAACAACAAAACTGCCGCGGATGTTGCAGGAAATGTACTGTTAGTAACAATTGAAGGTGCGGATGCACGCCTTGTCAGCATAGATATTTTACACCTGGTAAGCAATTTTGCCTGCTTCCATGTTATAGTTAAAGAGGTAAACATTTCAGTACAAATATGTTAGCATTAAGGTATTGTGTTTGGGTTGTAAATCCTCCTGTTCTGGGGTGCTTTTGTTTGACATGAATGTGAATGGATCAGCAGGCCCATTTCAAGAGAAAATCTTCAATGGCAGCTTAGTGCATCGGGAGAAAGAGCACATGTGTGTTTGTCTCCTTTCTCCTTCTCTTAACACTGCCTCTTTCTTCCCTACTCTTCCTCCTCATGATCCTAATCCTACCACTCTAATAGCGTGGACTGCTTTCATTTCTTCTCTTGTGCACCCTGCATATCCCCTTTTTTAATTTATACATGCTCGTTTTATAGAATTTTTGTCTGTTGCTTTGTTTCATCAGCGTGATTGTCTCACACTTTTACGTTATAGTATCTCTCAAGCTTTTAATTGCACACCCTTTGTAAATTTAGCAGCATGTTATACAAAAACTGGCTATATGCTTTAATGAAATTTGTTAAAAGATTAATGACATCACTCTTATTCCCTTTAACTAAACTGGAAATTCATGGCCCCATAGTTCTGTACACCATTCCAAAGTAATAAAGTTCTATTATATTTTGTAGATAAGATAATGATTTTCACATATTTTAGTTGAAAGATTAAGACACTCCCTAAAAATAAACTCAATGTCACTTTTGTTTTTTAATAGGCTGTAATGAAGTTTTGCTTATAAAGAAAAGAGTAACAATTGGAAGCTTTTTAAAGTTAGAAAAAAAATTGTGTGTTTTTATTATTTGATAATAATTTGTAGAGGGCTTATCTCTGGAAGTTTGTTTTCAAGTTTCTGAAGTGTATTGTATTTCCTTATGTATATTTTTCTGAATATTATTCTAGTGATGCAGGTATTTTCAGCTTTTGGGTTTGTGCACAAGATAACTACTTTTGAGAAGACTGCGGGATTCCAGGTCTTTATGAGTTAATTTTCTTCTAAATTTATAATCGGCTTCCGATGCCCTCTCTAAATAATCTCATTTTGTATTCTTCTTTTCAGGCACTCGTGCAATTTTCAGATGCAGAAACTGCCACTTCTGCCAAAACTGCACTGGATTCAAGAATCATCCCTAGGTGACAATTGTGTTGGTTGTTTTACGTGGTATCAAGTATCAGATTTAAAAAGTGTTCACACATATAGGATCTAGTCACCTGTCGGCTATTAGACAGCCTGTAGGGCACGAAAGCTCTCTCGGAAAACAGTTTTTTAAACTTTGGGCGTGTTCAAGTGCTATAATCTCCATTGGGTGTTGGTTGTAAATATTGCTTTTAGATGATATTTGGTGATGGCGGCTCATTTTCTGCTTGTACTCTTTGGCTCAGGTATCTGCTTCCTGAGCATGTGGGACCATGTACTCTCAGGATAACATATTCTGGACACACTGATTTGAGTGTGAAATTTCAAAGTCACCGAAGCAGGTATTCACATATTTGTTTTTGTTATTCCAGTTCCTTGGAAATAATACCTTATTTTATGTTGCACCCTCCTACATTGTTTCTGTATTTATGATGTTTCCTTTTCTTGTAATTATTTATAAAACAAATAAATAAATAAATATTTTCTATTATTGGACTGTCTTTATCTCTATGTAGGTGAGCACTGTTCTTACTTTACCCATTTTGCTGATTCAGGGACTACACTAATCCTAACCTTCCAGTTGCTCCATCAGCCATAGATGGAAGTGGTCAGGTAATGCAGTGATGGGGGCAAAATCTGTTATTAGGTTATATCATGAGGGTGAGGCAGGCAGACATTTCTGTACCAAGGCCCTTATTCATTTCGATCTTGGCATGCATGTCACATAAAATGTTTTGTATTTTTATGAGGTGTTTTTGGTACGTATCAATAGATTGGGGAAAACAGGAATTAAATTCGTCTGCTGGTGCTTTTTCTAGGAGATACTTGAGAATAATTCAACATTGTGATGTAAACTTGTATCTTCGAGCATGTTATATCGTACCTCTATTAATAGAGTTCATTGTTTCATCATTACAGCTAATTGTGGGATTGGATGGGAAAAAGCTAGAACCGGAGAGTAATGTGCTTCTTGCATCCATCGAAAACATGCAGTATGCTGTCACCTTGGACGTTTTACACATGGTATATCTGATTTATTTATAAATATGATCGTGTTCTTTTCAACCATGTGGATTCAGTCGCAAACTGATCTTTTCCTTTTCCTGCCACTAGGTCTTTTCTGCTTTCGGGCCTATTCAAAAGATCGCCATGTTTGATAAGAATGGAGGGGTTCAGGCCTTGATTCAGTATCCAGGTACCTTTCTACTAGCTCTCTTTCATGGTTTTCAAAATTGGAATGTAAGGGTTTGATGATCTGACCTGATTAATCGGGACCTAGCCAGCTGACATATGTATGGTTGAACCTAAGCCTTACAGATTTTGAACCTAGGCCATACTGATTTTGAGCGTAAGCCCTATGGATTTTGAACCTAAGGCACTACCGACTTTAAACCACCTTAGCCTTGCTGAGTGAATGTTAGGTTGTTTATTACTCATGTACAAGGTGCTGCATTTTACAATTCCCGTAGAAGTAACTGCCGATTATACATGGGGCTAATTATGTTGTGGCGTGCAGAGGTTCAGACGGCTGTTGTTGCCAAGGAGGCCTTGGAAGGGCACTCCATATATGATGGAGGGTTCTGCAAGCTCCACATCTCATATTCACGCCATACCGATCTCAGCATAAAGGCAAGTTAAAATATATTCCCCGAAGGTCTCCTGGATTAGTCATTTGCACTTCTTGTTGGTGTTCCATTTTCTTTTTCAACTTTCCCATGATTTCGGGAGACGAGCTGTGCCTAATGTTCTGCACCTACCATGCTGATTACAGGTGAACAATGATCGGAGCAGAGACTATACAATCCCTACCATTCCAATTGTGGCCGCACAACCGTCAATTCTAGGACAACAGCCAGTTCATCAGAGTGCCACAGTGCCTCCATACAGCGGGGCTCAGTATGCTGATCAGGCTGTGATGCCTCAGCCTTCTGCAGGGTGGGGACCAACTGTTCCGGCAGTTCCTCAGTCCATGCCGTTTCAGATGCATAATCAACCGTACATGCCACCCGGAACTATACCTATATCTTCTCCTCAAATGGGCCCTGGGATGATGCAGAGTGGTCCGCCGCCTCCGCCCTATCACCATGGTCATGTGCAATGACACCTCTCTTATGGAATTAACCGTTAAAGTTGTTGAATCTCCGGTCATTGGATTATGGAACACCACCTCTGCATATACAAGGAGCATTCGAACAAAGGGAATCTCCCATCTGCAGAAGCCGCCTAATTGCGAAAACTTCATAATCCTGCTCTCTTTTTCTTGAAATTTTGATAGAGATTATGTAAAATCAGTGGGTTTCAAATACTTGATTGTGTTGTTGACTGTTTTAAGGTTTATTAAGATAATAATATCAACTGTTAGTTTAAATGAGTTATATATGTATGGGACAAGGAAATTAGGCGTTTGCTGCCTGCCTCTGGTCCAAAATTGCAAATTACAATTTTTCTCACCATAGTATTACCGTCTTCTACCATATAGTTTAGTACTGAATTTTTATAGTAAAAATGCAAATTACAATTTTTCTCACCATAGTATTACCGTCTTCTACCATATAGTTTAGTACTGAATTTTTATAGTAAAAATATATATATGATTGGATCCGTAGCATCACTTCTTTTACACAGGCGCACATTTTGTAGGCTTGTTTTGTAATGTATTTTAACGATCCGAATTGTCTATTTTTTAGATCTTACCTTAAAGATCATGTGTATAAAAAATCACTCAAATCTGAAATCATATGAGTTTTAATGAAAAAAAATTCCAAAATTGAAAGCTGTTTAATTATCTGATTGTGGCTTGATAAATAGACAACATTAACAATGAAAAGTTTTAATGAAAAATCACTCAAATCCAAAATCATGAGTTTTAATGAAAAAATTCTAAAATTGAAAGCTGTTTGTGGCTTGATAAATAGACAACATTAACAATGAAAAGTTTGAAATAATAATTAAAGGCTAAAGATTTTCAATTTAAGCGAATTTTTGCAATTTGATCTATAAATGATGGTCTACAAAATAAATGGTTTCAGATCATGAGATTCTCTTGTGCATCAAGCTAGTAATTAATGCCGTATAAATTTACTAATATAATCATATATAACTCTTACTTAGGTACGATAAGTCTTGTATTTTTTGTGAAAATTGAATGACGCAATCTGAACGATTCTATCCAATTTTTCTTAGTCAAGTAAGCCCAATTGTTACTATTTCTTTCAATTGAAAATTTCCATTTGTTTTTATTTGTAAGTATACGTTTCAAAAGATCTCCATCTCCTATCAGCACTAGGAATACCTAAACCGTCGATCACCAAGAAGTCCTGCGGCTTCTACAAAAACAGAAATAAAAAAGCATCACAGCCGAATAGTATAAATAGAGGGAGCCTTCGAGCTTCCATTGCATGCAACAAAGGCAAACACCCCCCCCTTCTCTTCTTCACTTCTTCTGCAGCCTTTCGTCACTGTAAGTCTTTCTCTCCTCAACGTTGAATATTTAGGGTTTGCACTTTTTCTTCTTTTGTTTTTCACTTCGGTGAATCGATGTTATTTACTTATTTTTTACGCTCACGAGTTCTTGCTTTCTGGGAACTACCAAGCAGATGGTTAACTTGTAGAACAAGGGACTCCTAAATACTTCAATTTCCTACTTGTTTGATGCTTTTTCGTTGTACGATTATATGTTTTTATCTGTTTTTCAACTTACTTTAATTGCTTCTTTTCTCGAATCTCGTATTTTTTGGCTAGGTTTTAGGAAACCTCGATTCCTAAGAATTCTTGCTGGTTAGAGGTTGATTTGTTGTTTTTTCTTCAGCTCGTATGTGATTTTTTTTTTTTTTTTTTTTTTTTTTAACCTTTTACTCTGTGTTTCTTCCGTTCTTTCTGAAATGTATCGGCATATTATCGAACAAATTAGGGTTTAGGAAAACTTGTGATTTTCCCATTCTGCAAGTACACATATATATAGGGTGACCCAAGCCAACAAGGCCCACAGCTTTGCGAGGGTCAGGAGATAAATTGTACTTAAATTGATGTGTCGTCTTTGTTAAACTATTGATAATCTCTGCATCAAATCATATTAATTTGCATTTTTCACTTTTGGATTGCAGGTGAGAAATTGTGCTTTTATAAAAAGCTAGGTTCAATAGTTAACAGTTCGGGAAAAGATGGGAGCACTTTGTGATCCTAGTGAAGCCGAATTGGACTTCCTTCAACAAAGGCAACAATTCAAAGAACGCATTCGAATCAATCATATGAAGGAATCAGGGTCTGCTAATGATCGTCCAAACGATAAGAATACAAGTGACAAGTAAGTTTTTCTTTCTTTTCAGATTTTCATCGACGAGGAAGGAATTGATAGTGCTGCGTTTGGTTTTGAGATGGATGAGTTTTTTGACACATAATGCCTTCATTCTTGCAGCTTCGGAACATTCTTTGGACCCTCACAACCTACCATATCGCGAAGACTGCTCGAAGAAAGAAAAGTACTAATGCCAGGATTAACGAATTTGGCATCCAAGGTCAGAAATTCTGATGATCAGGTACGCAACTATCAATGAAACCAATTGTCATGAAATTTATTTGCATCCTGACATTAGTGTGTAACTTTTCACATCAGTGTTTCAATTTCTTATCTAGGGTAAAAAGAGCCTGAAGAGCCCTTCCTCAACTACAACAAGGTCTGGTTCGACAATGAAAAATATAAAGGTATCCCGGGATTACTCCTTTTTGTTGTCAAAGGAAGCAGAACCACCGGCAACTTCAAAAGGGGAGTCTGGACTCGGTAAAGATTCTATCTTGAATTCAAGCAATGCAAGGACTCCGGTTTCTGGTACGAATAGAGCTCCTGTGGCGAAGATTGAAGCCTGAGAAGAAGCAACCTTTGGATGATAAAGAGAGACATCATGAGAAGAGACGATATTTGATGCCAAAGCAGTCTTCCTTGCAACGTAAGGTTCCAAAAGTGAATGAAACTTCTTCAACGAAGTCACTGCCTGCATCGAAGAAACAATTGGAACAACGAAAGGATTTGCATCAACCTACGAATCTAAAACCAAAGCCAGATAAAACTCGGTCTCCTCCACAACAAGAGAATTCAACGAAGTCACTGCCTGCATCGAAGAAACAATTGGAGCAACGAAAGGTTTTGCATCAACCTGCGAAAGCAACACAGAAGCCAGATGATAAAACTCAGTCTCCTCCGCAACGACAGAATCTTGATAGGTGCAAAGCCTCGTCATCAAAGCTACCATCTTCGACAAAGCACGACATTAAAAAAGAAAAGCAAATCCTCCAACCCAATAACACAAGAGTGATGCCGAAACAGCAAAACTCCTCGAAAATTAAGGTTCTTTCTCACTGACATGCATTCATATTTTCCATTCATTTGTTTGTTCATATTTCTTTCCATCATTCTGCGACGAAGCTCATGAATTTCTCTGCATCGAATTTCAGCAGATCAAACGCGATGTGGCGGAGAGTTCTTATGATCACAAAGTTGACGTTTCTTCTATGATCCAATCAATTTTTAGGTAAGAATTCTGCCTTTATGTTTTGATTTCTTGGTTTACACTTCTCATGTTTCGTATTATCTTAATATTTTGGGTTGTGGTTTTTCAGACGAAAACGTAAGCATATTCGGGAGGAATATTCCGATTCCGACAATGATGACGCTGCAATGGTTTCCACCTTTGACGATATTATTAGAGAAGAGAACAGGAGGTGCCATTTTACTATTCCTCTTCAAGTAATGAATTACATTAACTTAGTTGCATATTTACGTGCAAAATCTAAGTGTGCCACTCTTTTGACAGTTCAAAATTGCTAGGAAGGAGGATGAAATCGAGCGTCTACGCCTCGAAGAAGAAGAGAAGCAAGAGAGGTTAAGAAAAGCAAAGAAGCAGAAGCTAAAAGCATACAAAAGCGATTCCAACTCTTGATGTAAATGACCTAATTGATAGATATAAGTATGAAACTTTATGTTGAAATCCACACTGCTTTTGAAATCCGGCTAACTACTCGCCAAACTTAACATAAAATGCAATCAGAAGCAAATGTACAAATGCCGTCTCTCGGCACATATATACACAACCAAAATCATATCACCGAAACAGAACCCGAAATTCACAGAGAACCTAGTCCGGTTTTTTCTTCCTGTACTTTTCATTCGCGAAAGGGTTACAGAAACCTTCATGACGGATGTGGTTCTTAAGATCCTAAACACAGGAAGTTTACCAATCTAATTTTTTTGTACTGATGGAAAACAAGGGAAACAAAAATATGAGCGTGTTTCGCGTGTGTGAAATGGAAGTGTACAACTGCCTGTCCGTCTCCAAAACCTCCGAGTTAGGAAAGCCTCGGAAGCTTCATCCATTGCAGTCTCTGGCCGCCACCATGTGCTATCGGTTCCAATTTTCAGAGCTGATCGATTGGCTCAGTTTGGTCCTGTACTGCAAGTCGCTCTGAGACGTCAGAAAGAGATTTGAGATTGCATTGGATCAAGGCTTCAACAAAGTAGCAGGTCTCATCCTTGGTGTTCCCTTCAGGAATGTCAACTACAAATGACTCAATCACCAGAGTCCCCGGTCTTCCGTCAATTATCTCTGGATGGAGGGAGATGATTGAAGAGTAGTTCTGGGAAAAAAAATAATAAGAACAAGTTAATAGCAGAACAAAAGGATAAACCCAGATTGAGTTCGGAGATCCACTGGTCCAAAATATCATAGGAGGATCAGTTTTCGGCTCAGAGGCTTGTAAACAGGCCTACTTTAGTCAACAGGGCAGCACCCTCGTTGCTGCTTAGTGCAGATAGCGTGAGAGTTTTATGGTTAGCCCTCAGGATTGATATATGTGTAACCATTCATATATATATATTTTATATTATCAGTAGGATTCAAGTCAATAACCTCCAAATTCAACCTTATGCCTTCCAAGTACCAATTTTGAACTTAGAGACCGATGCCAGTGGTCACTGATTAAAAGGAACAAGGAACCAACACCGTAAATTTAAATTTTGTGCAGCCAAAGCTGAAGCCTGTTTCAGGAAATCTTTTTCCGTTTCCATTAAATTTTGATGAGATCAAGTTCAACGGGCCCAAAAACTTCAAAACTAAAATGCAGAGACTCCAGTGAACAGAGAACTTCATATTAAAATCTTGTGAACCAGTTAACCTTTTGGCTTGTATGCTCAGAAATGTGCAACCAAATAAAAGGAAAAGATAAGCATGTGCTGGATTATAAAAGGAAAGAATCTCCATACCCTGAGTCTGTGATCCCCACCAATTATTTTAATGCTAAGAATATGCTCGTCATCGTCAAGAAGTTCCAATCTCTCAGTACTTGTTGTGGCAGGAAGCCCAGACTTAACATCAACTTCTCTGAGACTTCCAATCTCAAGATTTCCCTGCACCACACACCTGCTGACAAATGGCTTATACTTTTGCGGTTGATCAAATTGTCTTACCAACGACCAAACCTGAAGAGAAACAAAACAATTCACATTCCGGAAAAGGGATAACCAAAAAACATATTTATACTAATACAGTAGTTTCATGTCAACCATCCAGAGATGCAGCATTGCACTCAATATTTATTGGCAAACAATCGTTGCAGTTATCCTGCCCATTCTCAAAGAGGATCTCTCTCAAATACACCTTAATCTTCCAGTTTCCTGGAAACAGGGTATTAAAAACAATCGAACATTAAACAAGAAAAGCAGTAATTACATTTCTGAGCCAACGAACAAGAACATAAAAAAAAAACTCCAAAAAAGCAATCAAAATTTCCTTTTTTTTTCTGTTTCTTCTCAATTTTCTTAACTACACGCACAGAGACGCCGTGATAGAAGAACGACAATGACCTAATCGATTGACACCCCCACATTAACGTAGGCAAAATCATTAAGCAACCCAACCGAAAACACGACGGATCAAAACCAGACGCTCTCCAAAAATGCAATCAAACATGTCCTGAGGAAAAAGAACAATACTTTACAGACCAAAAAGAGCAAAAACAATCGGAAATCGAATCCCGGTAACCCCAGTTTCACAAACCTCAACTCCCAAATCAAACTCCAAATCCAATTGTAACATAAACACCCAGCTACCTGTATGTTACATGCATGATATTTACATTCCAATATACAAATCCCAGATCAAACAAATCAAATAAATAAAAAATCCTAGAGCTTCATAGATAGATAGATATCCACACACACAGAGAGAGAGAGAGAGAGAGAGAGAGATGTACAAGATGGACAGGGGCTTTGATGTGCCTGACGAGAGTAGATGTACACTGATGGTCGTTAAGGTCGTGCTTGTGGTGCCTCCGAATGTAGTCGTTCACTATCCCGCCAAAACCACCTCCTCCTCCGCCGCCTCCTCCGCCTCCATTCCTATTCCCATTCATCTTCCTCTAAACCAATCACAACACTTTCGATCAAAAACAACAAAAACAAATCACCTTTCACAATAAACCAACCAATCAAGCATACATAAACTCACCAATCCCACGGCCTTATCTTCCTCCTTCAAGCTCTAAACTTTCCTTCTGCAATTCCAATACTGGTTGAGAGAGCGAGAGAGTCAACCCCGTTCGACTCCGTCGGACTCGATCAAAGCTTGGGACTGTGAAAGGAGGAAGTTAGGTCGCTAGTGAGAGAGAAAAGTGTCCGAGGACCCGATTCGACTCTGTCAAAGCTTGGGAGTGTGAAAGGAAGAAGTTAGATCGCTGGTGAGAGAGAGGAGACTCACCGCCATAGAAGATAGAGAAGAAGCGCCTCAGGCCTCCCCACCATCCCCATCACCTATCTCACCTCCTTCCTAATAAATTAATACTTTAAAACGCCCAACCAAACAAAAAATAGACCTCCAACTTTAGTTGGCAATTACCTTTGTCTGTTATTGCAACTTGCATTAAATTATACTTTTCTTGTCTTGCAAATGCCTATCTTCTCGGAGAGATTTGTAATGTGTTCTGAATATGGGATGGTAGCTACGATGCGTCATATATCATTATAAAAGTGGAGGAGATTTTTTATTTTTGAAGTGTCGCTTCAATTATATAATGATATATGACGTATGTGCTCATGTTTCAAGCACACTGAAAAATCTGACGTATGTGCTCATGTTTCAAGCACACTGAAAAATCTCTTATATTTTAAAAGGTAAATGTGAACATGTCATCACTCCTTGCCTGCTTCTGAGGATATTGTTTTTCTATGACTAAATTGTCCTCTAAGGTTGCTTGATTTACGCTTCCAATTTACTTGACTGTTGCGTAAGGGTTTTGGTACGGCAACGTGACCGGTTGGATGGTTTACAGTGGGCACCACTCGCACTATAAATGGTTTAACTCCCATCTCGTATGAGTGTGGCCTCCAATAGGTCAAGTTATCTTTACTAAAGTTTATCTCCTCACAATGTCATTGTAGAGCTAAATTCATAGTTGATCTTGCATGATTACGTGTTTAGTTTCCTCACGTGACAATACTTGATTCACCACAATAACTCGTGAATGTAGATAAGTTAAGAATATATATTGTTGTTGTCATTGTTAATTGATGAAGCAATCTTAAGAGAATTCCGTTATTGAGATTATTAATTGATGAAGCAATCTTAATAGAATTCCGCTATTGAGTTTATGTCGTTAATTAATGTTCTTAGTATAATCATACTTCTCTTATAGTAATGAGAGAGGCCCTAAATCCGTAGTCCCTCGCCCGTTTGATTATAAGAAGTATTGTCCTAAAATATTAATTGGCCTTAGGTTACTTTCTTTGTTCGCTAGCCATTGTAATTTGTAGACCAGGCCAAGGGCAAAGTAGTATTTACAAAAATTCCCAATTCAGTTTGTGTCAAGTTAGACTACTATTCAATTAGGATCCTCTCCTATTTAAACTGTTACGATTATGCTACGTTTACTCTTGTTTTGAACTTTTTATATATAGAATAAGACAAAAAAAAAAATAGTGTGAGAGGATATAATGGAAATAGATAGTAATAGGAGAGAAGAGAATCTCACTCCATTCAATTGAATAATGAATTAAAGGTCATTTACTAGTTTGATTCTTACAATAAATAAAGTATATTGTTTTTGTTTAGCTTATAGTGGCCTTTGCCCTAAAGAGTTAGGTCACATGGCCTTGAAGGAATAATGAATAACACCAAATGGTCTTATGTACTATGCTATATATTTTTATGGGAGCTTTAAGATAAACACTCAAATATATTTCATACAACTTCACTAGCTTTGTATCATTCTAAGGAAAGATAAAAGTTCGAATTCCGATAAACTTAGTCCAAAAACAAGTAAACTAAAATTTTAAAATTCCAATCGTGCCCCCAATAGACTTATTACTTAAGAAGCCAAAACTATAGACTGACATCATCTATAAAAACTTCAAATTGATTTTAGATCTGTGAAAATATTTTTGCACTTCTACAAGATTAGTTCATAATTCATGCACTTCTATAAGATAAGAAAAAAATAAGAGAGAGAATGGCGAAGAAGATGGAGGAGGAGAAAGAAAGAGGGAGAGAGAAAAAAGATAAGGAGGATGAGGGGAGAGAGAGAGGGGGATAGGAAGAGGGAGAGAGATAAGGACAAGGATTGTCTGCTCTTTCACTTCTGGTGTCTTCCCGTGCTCTCCTGTTTTGTGTGATCACGATTAAGCCACGTCAACATTTTATATTATTTTTTTATAGAGATAATAAAACAAAAATGAATAGTAATATAAAATGTTGACATGACTTAACCGTAACCACACAAACAGAAGGGCACCATAAATGAGAGGACAGACAATCCTTGCCCGAGTGATAAAGGTAAGGAGGAGAGAGGAAGAAAATGATGAAGAAAAAAATGAAGAGAGAGAAAGGAACAATATAAATAAAGAAACAAAGACTCATCTTTCAATTTTAGGGATAAAATTATCACTGTAATAGCAATTGAAAAAACAATCATGACATTACATGTCACGTAGATAAATTTTATCCATCTCTGAAATAAATAAAAAATTTAGTATTTCTCCAAAATATAGTCTTACAATTTGAATATATGTGTAATTATTCCTGTTTTTATATTACACTCCAACGAAGATCATTAATCTAAATTTTGAAAACAACGCAACGTTCATTGCACTTACGAAAGAACCAAATAATCGAATACAAAATTTCAAACGCAAAAACGTTTCCAACTATTTAAACTACAAATTCGTTAATTTAATCGGACATATAAATGTTCATTGCACGGACAAAAATAGAGAACTTTGACTTTTGGAATAATATTATTTTGGTTTTGTTTTCTTAAGTAATTGAAACTCAACCAAAAACTTAAAGGTCAAGGCACTCTTTAGAGGAGTATTAAATCTTAATTACTCTTATAATTTTTTTTTTTAATTTTTTTTTATTATTTTAAGCAAGTGCCTCAAATATTCTCTGGAACTTGGGGATCTGCGGGATCCTGCGATCATGACCTTTCATCGTACATCATACGATCAGTTTTCGTTAGATACTATTTATATTTTATTTTAAATTTTAGATGATTTATAACCGTACAATTTACGAAGAACAGTGATGATCATAAGATTCTCCGAATCTTTAGAAAAGGATTTCCATATTCTCTATTATTGTTATTTGTTTATGAGATGGGTCCCGCGGGCCCGAAAGCAGCTGTCCATTTCCGACGCGCATGAATGCACGTGGGATTCGAAGCACACGGCGCGCGCATTCTTACTGAGAAAGGCGGAACCATGGAGTCCATATCACGCTCTAAATGAGAGCGTGGGATTGTGTGGAGGGGAGGCTTCCGTTACTCGGCAAAGTGTGAGCGGAAGGTGAGCTGCTGCATCCCTACACGTGCAGGTGAGGATAAAAAGATGGGTTATGGTCGTAATTTACGTGAGGAAATTAATAGGGGTCGTGGGTCTGGGTCAGACCAGAAAAATTAAATATGGTCATGGGTTGTGTGTGAGATTATGAACTGCCAAATTTATTTTAAAATAAAGATTTTTATTCAAAATAATTTTGAAAATTTATATAACTCCTTATTTTGATCTTTGATTTTTTAATTAATATAAGTGATTTTTGAAGATGTCTACCGTCAATTATTTTGGCATTTTTTGAAATCAACTCCTTTCTTTAAAATTTTTACCACATGGACCTTTTTAAATAAAAAGCCCGAAAATATTTGATTGTCTGGATTCTTTGGCATGGGTTTAATCCATTGGGTTGGCTTATATCTTTGTATTCAACCAACCATTGTCGGTAAAAACTAAAACTACCTTGTCTGACTTTTATGAAATTCATTTCATTCTTAATTGAGCTTAATTTTTGTATGAAAGTGACATGACATAAAATGGTAAACCAATAAACCAAAACTTATGCATGCAGAAAAGAGTATCAATTAGCTTTTGGTTTAGGTGTAGACGTCATATTCAGCTAACACAGGCCATAAATTTTTCGGCACATCTAAGACACATGACAATATACTGTATGTAATTATGTAATTGGAAGGACATTTGAAATAAAATAAAATAAACTTTTATCTAGTTATACAATGACAGATAGTGTACCATGTCGTGTTCCAAACTCACTGAAAAAATTCCACACACAGACCAAAAGACGAAATATGTTTGTGATGATTTTGATTCCTAAAAGCTAATTCTGACTAATGACTACATTGTAATGAGAAAAAACTTATATTAAATAAGAAGGCCAGCTACATGATAGTATTCCGGACTATTCATGTGGCGTCATTGTGATGGTGCAACTCTATTGTAAATGGAAAAATGTTATGGAGATAATATTTTTCGACCATTTTATAAATAACATGATGTGACGGTTGATGATTAGATTCTGATTTTATTGATTTAAAGAAATTCAATCATAAATTATCATATCACTTGATCTAAAAAGATATCCTCTTTAGCATCATCCTTGTAAATGTATTATCTCATTACAAAAATATATTTGTAAAACATTATATAGTTTGTCATACCAAAAAAAAAAAAAAAAAAAAAAAACCAAATTCTATCGGGTGTTTTTGCTAACTTGCAATTATCTGGAAAAAAATAAGTACGAGGGATATTATTTTGAACTGTCATCTAATTACAACAGTTACCAAATTAACGTTGGTATGAATTATAATTAGTTACCTAATCGGGTTTATGCACACCAATGGGTCCCATGTGTCTTCGCCGGATCCTTTTTCTAAGGATCCTAGGAATCCCGTGATCTCACATGTTCATCGTATATCGTGAAGTCAATTTTCGTTAGGAATTATTCATATTTAATTTAAAATTTAAATTTTGAAATAATTTCTGACCGCACAATGTACGATGAACGGATGAAATTATGGGAGGATCCTTTTCCCATATGTATCGAATCATTGCATGAGTTCTGCTTTAGAGACACAATCACCCACTAATGTGCTTTCGCGTGTGATTAGCAGCTTAATTTCGACAAACAGTGGTCATACTCATGGATTTGCCTTACTTATTACCTATACAGTCTAAGCACCATATCCTAATGCCTAAATGGGAAGCCTGAAAGTTAAGTAAAAAGTGTTCGTATCCAGACACAAAACAATTTAATAGCTTTAACTAAGACACTTAAATGATAAGTCTATTTACCAATTATCTTCTGGTTTAGATGTATTTGTCTCACTTCAGTAGAGGAAGTTTTTTTTCCCCACGCCTGCAGTATCCACACCCCAAAGGGATGACTAATCTTTATTGGGTCCCGGAAAGGCTAAAGGTATTTCAGCTCATATCTAACTATAATTAAATAACATATGTCCTCCCAAAGCTTTACATTAGAGAATCATTCATGT